TATTGTATTTATCTCTGTAGACTAAGGAGTTCTAAGTGTAACTTAGGAACATAAACCTTAGTGAGTGTAGTAAATCTTTGTATCCTCTGTGTGAGAGTAAACCACACACTCAAAACAAATTATCTATCATTTGTAAAGCCTGAAGAGGCTAGGGAAAGAATACTTGTATAAGCCTAGAGAGGCTTCTCAAAGAATCCTCACTAAGAGCCTGAAGAGATTGAACAAAGAATACTAGCACTAATGAGTGAAATTAGCGGGCCAGGAGTGGTCGATAATCCTCACTAAGAGCTTGAAGAGGCTGAACAAAGAATACTAGCGCTAATGAGTGAAGTTAGCGGGCCATGAGTGGTCGATAATCTTCACTAAGAGTCTGAAGAGTTTGAACAAAGAATACTAGCGCCAATGAGTGAAGTTGGAAAGATTATAAGGGACCAAAATAGGGTTTTAACCTAAAAATGAGGTATAGTGTTATTAAATGTAACTAATGTTTAAATCATTCAATTCAAAGAGTTTTTAAGAAAAATTAATTTTTATGACATTATTAATGAAAATTAATTATCTTAACTACTTTTATTAGTTTTGGTAAATCGGTTATTTATTTCTTATATAAAAGACTCTAAAAAGTATAAAATTGTAATTGTAATAAAATAAATTTTTTAAAGTGAAAATAACTTAAATACTTAATGAAAGTTCTCTATCCAATACTATTACAATAATAAAGGATGTTAGTATATTAAATGGGTGTTCCACAATGGGTGTCTATAACACTCATCACATTCTAGATTAGACATGCTAAAACACATGACACCTAGATCATAACACATGATATTTTGAATTTGGTGTTTTTGAACACATGACTTTTGGATTGGGCATTCTTCAACACATATTATCATTCAAGATTAATTGTTCCAAAATTAGTTTTATCAATCTAGAAGGTAATATGGAATTGTAAAATTTATGTGCTTAAAGTTTGGTAATATTATATCTCAACAAATAAATAACATAATCAAATATGAATGACATCATATGTTAAATAATACATCAACAATCGTTTTTCCCTTCCTTGGCCTTCTTGATCACCCATACCCTAATTCTCTTATTTCTTTTTTATATATAACCATAATATTGGTATGAAATATCTATTATCAAAAGTAATGATTAATCTCCATCGGGTGCCATGAGTGCAAACAAAGTAAGTATTTTCCTTTCAACATAGTTTATTTCATATATAAGGTCAAATTCAAACCCTAAACATCTTGGTTAAAAGATATAAGTCACTATCACTTGTGTAAAACAATGTTGGTAATCCTCTTACTTCTACACCACACAACATCTCCAACATTTGTCACGTTGCATACCAATATAAATTATCACGTGGTATGAGTAAATGTGTCCACGTTTGATGTCACCATCATCAAATTAATCATAGTTTACAAGTGTTGGACAATGCTCTAACATTTGACCTATATAAACACAAAATAAAAGTGGCCGTAATATGAAAAGATACAATAACATAATAAAGTTAGTGACTTTCCACTACATGAGGACATTCCTGAGTATTGGCATTAGATAATGGGACATTTGTTCTAACTCTATGCATAGGTAGGACTCTAGGTAGTTCTTCCTCGCATGGTGATATAAAAAATGCTTGAGATCCTTTGATATTATTCCAGTACCGTACAACATCTAAAAGGTGTGTGGTGATAAGAAAGACACTAGAAGGGGGAATTGAATAGTGTTAATAATAAAATACACTTTTTAAAACATCAAAGTAGTATTGTTACAACAAATAATGCAAACAAAGATATAAGAATATGAACGCAAGGTATTTTTATACTAATTTGTCTCAACCACTAAAACTACGTCTAGTTTTTGATCCAACTAGATCAAGTTCCACTATCTTATACAAAGATACAAGAACTTTTTTTCCCAAGCTACTTCTAGTTCAAACCTAAATGTTATTTGACTTGTCTCTTCAAGCAACTATCCAAGTATTCATTAACACAAAGTCTCTTTAGGCTTTAACAACCAAATATTCTTTTATAGACAAACCTTTCCAAGCTCAAAGTAATAACACTAAGTTATAGTTGGGTAAGATACAAATGTTGTTTCCTTTTACTCTTAAGACATGATACAACCAATATAATACAAAGTTGGTTCATAAAAAGAATGAATGTGAATATGTTCAACAAAAAAAACAAAAACTCTTCTTTCTGAATCATTATGCTTCCTTATATAGGTGCTTCAATGAAGATGATCGTTGCAAATCCTTGAGCATCTCTCACAAGTTTGCTTCGTTTGTCTTCATCTTTGTTCCTAGTGGAAAGAAGTGTTTGTTGGTGCATTAAATGTTTCCATTTAATGCATTTCATCAAAATGTCACTTCTTATTTGACGAAGAAGGTTACTTACCACCTTTTAGATACCAAATGGGTGGAACCATGTGT